TTTTGCTACCAATCGATCAGTAAATTGGGTGATTGGAATTTCAGTTAATGTAACATATTTACAAAAGTGTAGAAAAACACGAAATAGATAAAAATCACAAATTAGCAATTGATGTTTATTTAGTAGCTTTGTTCTTCAAAATCAATGGATTTATATTTTAACAATTAAAAAAAAAATAATAATATATTGAAACTAGACGACAAGTTCTTGAAAGAATTGTTTCTGTAATTTTAGTACTTGCAAAATAGGATTTATCATTTAGAGAATATAGAAATTAAAGTTGTTATTCATTTGAAGACTCTTCTTCAAAAATAGGTGATTTTTAGCAATTGCAAAGTTAGTGGCAATATTTGACCCCATATTAAAAATTTTATTGAAATTAATTCTAAAAATAGCCTAATTTCAAAACAAAATGCTGACAAGAAAAATAATAAAGGACTAATAAAATTATTTTAATAAAATAAATAATAATAAGGGATAATAATAGACCTCATCAAATATTATTTTAGGTTTTCATCGACAATTTGATATATTAATAGTTAGCGACGTCATTGTTATTCCCTTATTGTATCATTGCATTAGACTATAAAACATTTTAATAATCGAAGGTAATTTCCGATTTTATATGAAATAATTTAATTATAAGTACACTTTTCCAAATAAATTTAATTAATTTAACATTTTTGTTAGCAGTTTATAATTTAACCAGTACAGACACCTATAAGCCCAAAAATTTGTAAAATTACAGTTAAATGCATATTTTTTATTTTTCATGCTATTTACAGCGCATATTTAATAGTTTTTAATTCCAAAAAATCCACCATTTACTATAGAGAGGCATAGTACGGGGGAAAATAAAACTCGGTTTAATGATACCTATTATTAATTTATTATTAACTTATGTCACATTATTTTAGTATTACGGTATAACTGTTCAGCATTGTGGCTATTATAGGTAGTAGGCACAGTATAAAATGTGATGACCATAAAAAAATCGGGTATTCTAGGGTTTGGAGGGATATACACAATTTTTTTTTTTTTTTGGTTGTACAAAATTATACAAAAAAAAAGGACATATTACTGTATAAGTTGAATTTCAATTTTAAAATAATTGGTTAATGGCCGTGCTGGAGATACGCATCTCCGGACCATTAAATTCGTCCTGATCAACACGACTTCCGAAGTACCCACAGCACTTCTACTCAACTTCTGAGAGTCATCGACGACATATCACTATATCTCAACCGAAGAAAAAAGACTACAGCAATCCTCCTTGATGTGGAAAAAGCATTCGATAAGGTCTGGCACGACGGCCTTATTTGCAAATTGATCGACCTTGCAGTGCCCAACGATCTCATCACCGTCATCGGTTCTTTTCTCACTGACAGAAGCTCCACATTAAAGTTGAAGGCAAATATTCCTCCTCTCGCAAAATATTTGCAGGCATGCCTCAAGGCTCTTGCCTTTCTCCACATCTTTTTTGTCTTTACGTCATCGACATGCCAACTCACCCTAATTGCCAAACTGCACTCTTCGTCGACGACACTATGTTCTATGCCACCAGCACTTCCAATGACGCTGCCACCAAATAACTTCAACTTCAGCTTAACATCACTGAAAAATGGTTCCACAACTAGCGAATCACGGTTAATCCATACAAAAAACCGAGATTTTGTTTTCGCACAAATCCACTGTCACTTCCCTTCAGCCCAAACTCAAAAACATTGGCATTGAGTAGTCGAATTCAATGAAATACCTTGGCGTACACGTTGATAGAAAACTAAGCTTCGCAAAACACGTCGTCGCCGCAGTCAATAAAGCAAAAGCAGTCAAATACTTTCTATACCCTGTACTATCCAGCCCAAACCTTACCATCAGCACTAAATGCTTTATCTATAAAATCTATATCCACCCTATAGCCACATATGCTTCTCCCATCTGGGTATCCAACATTTCTTCGACCAACTGATCTAAACTTGAAAGGCTTCAATAAACATCTCTCTGACAAATTTCCGGTCAACCTTGGTTCGTGAACAAGAAAACCATTCGTAACTCTACCGACATTCTACCCATCAAAGACTAATGATAAATCAACATGCCAACTCCGTCAAAACTCAAATCATCCATTCTCCACACAATCAAATCTCCGACATCAGCAGAAGAATCGCAACCACCCAGAAATAGGTACATTAACCGTCCTATTGACTTCTGACTTCCAAGTCCAACATAAGTAAGCCCATGAGCGTATTTAGTTAGCAACACTTCAGTCCCAATGATTCTCACTGGCAGAAGCTAAGCGTTTGAAACCGTGTAAAACAATCAAAGTAAAGCAAAGCAAGAGCATCGACACTCCATTCTTCCATTCACAACAATCAACATCCAAAAGATAAGAAGAATAGAAGCACTCGACGGCAATTACGACGACGATTGCAGAGATTACGACGACAACGGCGGCAGAGATAACGGCGACGACGACTGCGACGATTACGACGACTATAACGTTAACAACGATAATTGCGACAAATACAACGAAGGCAATTGCGGCGTTCACGGCGATCTCGAATACGGCGACAGCAACCTCAACGACTGTACAGTGCGGCAACTACAGCCGTGAAAAACAAACACGAATCCGGCTTCACCGGCATTTACACGCGGGACTCCGCAATTCGTGGACCTATTTGTCGACACTAAAAACAGCCCTTTTCAAGGCCAACATTCGTACAAACCTTTCCGGCGCATTTACACAAATGTCCGCTGGTAAAGTGGTCACGGTCGACCGTGTATCCAATTCTCTACTGTATCTGCTCAAGTGCGATACCGCCCGCCGCGGCCGCTTATTTGAGCCAGCCGCGCGGCCCGGGATAATTTTATTAAATTAAGGTGAGAACGATTATAATACCGACCGATTAGGGCTAGTTTCTAGTAGTTATTATGTTCCACGATTAGGGATGGCAATTTTTTTGTGAACATCGATCTATCGATGTATCGATATATTTATTACGAAACATTGATAGTAACAATATCGATAAATTAAAAAACCACCAAAGTCAAGAACTCGATGTACTTAGAAAAACATAGATGTTTTTTAAAAAAACAATCATACATCTTATAGGACAAAAATTATTATTCTTTGCCATAGCCCACAAGCTAAATTAATTATAAACATTTAAAATTTAAACATAAACTACCAACTCAATTAATTTACTTATTTATTAGAAAGATTAAAAAAATAAAAATATTGTGTAAGAAAATTAAATTAAAATTTAATAAATACAGTTCACAGTCAAATATAATCATAATAAATTCGTAAATTATAACAAAATGTTTTATATATTTATATATTTAAATTGAAACCAATAATGTCATTCATATCGAAGTTAAAATTGATCGTCAAATTGTTTAAAAAAATTAAATTTGATACCGATTTTCCACATAACCGGTTTCATTTATTTATTTTTGGGAAACATTTTAGTTTGAATCTATAATTAGGTATTATAGAAATACAAGGCTATTATATTATTTTTCTAGCGATAAGACTATATTATTATGAATTAAGATCAAGATACAATTAGTTTGACTTATTTTATTAACCACGGTTATATTAAATGATAATTATACGTATATCTATATTTTATTGTTTGCAAACGAAAAATTTTAAAAATATTTTGTGTAATATCCTTGAACATCGGAGATAAAGTAAACATTGAAATAAAAACATCGGTAAACGTGACACATCGATGCAAAATATCGAAACTTAACCATCGATATTGAACATCGATTTTTCAGCTTAAAACATCTATGTTTTTTTGACATCCCTACCCACCTACGATAACTGTACGTCGTGAAAAGAGAAAATAAAAATCGTTGAGTATCTCGAAAAAACTTATAAAACTACGGTAAAAATCTATGTGGAGGAGGGCATGTTATCGATGTACACGCGTCTTTCGTTAAGTAGTGGCTCATTATATCAATGAACGACCATATGTCTTCCACATTTTCTGGGATTTCTTGTTCGGAATGCTGACAAGTGTCAAACTCTATTAATCTCTTTCGTCGAACCCGGTCGACTTTCAGTTTCCTTTTTACGATCAATCCGAAGGAAGAAACTATCACCACCATCACCACTATCACTAATCCTATTTAATGAGTAATCGTAATAAGTATTTATAAGAATAATTGTTGAAGTATAATGTAAAGTAGAAAATAATAATGTAAAAAAATTTAAAATCCACTACCAATGCACGTGTAAAAAATCGATCGAAAGCATATACACGATCGTTCACTCACGTCCATAGATATTAAATTGATTTAATACAATAGATTTATACAAATAGCTCAAAGATAAAGCACAAGACAGAGAATCATGGGTAGAACATTTATTGTAGACCAATCTATGAATTGAATACCAAAAAAAAAAAAAAAAAAAAAAATACTGTACAAACAACTAGATAGTACATATTTTAAACGAATACCAATTTCATATTGCATTAACCTCACAAACAGCGTAACAATGAAAATACAGTAAATAGTATTGCCCGAGTATATTTTTCGACTAGCAACTAGCAACAAAAAAAATATTAAACCAACTCTTTGGCACCCATCGGAAACGTAATGTTATCGTAAGATTGTAATAAGTGTGGTTGTAGTTTTTCTAAAAAAAAAGTGTTTCTAAAATTTGGTTAAATTTACTTTTTAGTGCTGGGAAAAAACATACATACATGATCACGAAATAATGTTACTTCTTTATTCGAGCAAACCGCAAAACCTCGATTGATCTGCCCAAACCAATAACGATGATCACTCGTATGCGATTCAAAATAAGAACTGTTGATAGCCATAGACCTTACCTCTATGCTAAAAACATAATATTTTTTATAAGAATTGCCCGATGGCTACAGCGGTATCCTCTGGTGGCTAGAGCTAGTCGACAATCACATAATCATTTTATTTTTGTTATCAATAACCCGGTCACTGTTATCATAGTGAAATGTTTGCGATAAGCATGTCTTGTTTAAATAATAATTGTCTAAAATATTATGTCAAAATAGCTTACAGATTCTGATGATGTAGACTTCTATTATTGAATATTTTATTATTAATTTGTTATACGGTTACTTATGTACTCAAGTATAGGAAAGACGGTTGTAAAGCAATACCATTAATCTAAATAATACATTTTATTTTGGTTTTTTATTTAAAATATATTGTGTTTATGCTCAGTTGAATAAAATACATATTTTACAGGGTCTACAGTTTTTAAAGTTCTGTTTAGATATTATGTGTTTCATTGTTTATTATAAGTGAGAAATTATTTTAATTGTTTAAATTTTTATTAAGGTCCAGAATTGCTACATACTGTCCAAAACAGTCAATATAGCTTTATACAAACTGTTGGAGTACAGAATGTCAGAACTGGTAAAAGACAATTTAAGATTCATGTACTACAAGAAGAAAACAATGGCCATTAAAGTGTAAGTTGACATTTTAGTGTTATCAATTATGCAATATTTCATACTATGATTATTACTCTTTAGCTATTCAGAATGTTTTGAACAAGATGTTAAGACCAATGACATGCTATGACAAATATATCACCAAGCAAAATTAAGATAGGTTTTTCTCATCAAATCCTGTTGTATCTTACAATATTAATATTAAATTGCATTATTTTGACAAAATAGTATAATTGAAAAAACATTGGACAGAATAGTACATTAATTTACCTCTCATTGTGAGATGAACATGTGAACAATAATATAACTAGGTTAGTATATAATACTTTTGTATTATACATTTTCTTTTACTCAAATACCTGCATACCTGATGTAAAGTATATCTGAATGTTTACTCTTATTTTCCAGAAGATTCCCATCACTGAAAATGTCTGCAAAGTACTAACAATTAAAGTGTTTAAGACTATTGGTAGATACAATAAAAGACAACAGACCTTACAAAATCTATCATACAGGTTAAAAATTAATTCTTAGTTTTTATTTCACCATATTGAGTAAAATTTTTAAATAATTATTATTTTTATAGATTTAATCAGTTTTCTAGTAGAAAATGGAATCATCATGGAGGACAACTATTCAAAACAATTTAAACACAGCTTGAGATATATTTAAAATGATTTAATGAAAATGTATAACTAAAAAAATTCAGTATTATAATTATTAGGGTTTGAGACTTGTTGCATTTGCATATTGTTTAATAATGATTATATAATAGTCTAAGTAAGATATACATTTGTTTTAAGTCATAACGGATTGAAATACAAAATGTTAATTGCATGTTATTACATATTTCGCCATTTTCTGAGCGAAACGCATATTTGACTATTTTGGCAATTGAATTGTTCTTTATAACATATTTACACAGTTTTCGTTTGATGTTAATCAAATACATTTTACATTTATTTTTTTTAGTTTCATGCATTGGTCAATATACCTAATCATAGAATGAGTCGGAATAAGGAAACAAGGAAAATACCTAATTATTTCTGTGTATTCTATCAGTCACCATATATCATTTAGAGAATCTAAAAGGAAAATTAATATTCAGTTTGTATTTTTCATTATAAGGAAATATGAAGAAAATTAAATTGAACTTACACAATAATATAATGTTTATAGTGTTATTGTTGTAAAAAAAATATTGATTAAAAATATTGTCTAAATTTAAATAAATAATTCAAATTTTTTAATTGTTATTAAAAAAATATAAAAATATTCAGTTGCATGTTTTTGCGCATATTTTGGTTATTTTAATTTCATATTTGCATGCTTATTTCCTACAATTTATGTGCAATAAGTCCAGAACCCTAATAATTATTAATAATCCATGTCTATCATTGAGTAAATTATAAAACTGAATGGTTGAATAGGTTAAATTTAATGATTTACAGTTATATGATTATCAGACTTGAGAATAAATGTGAATTTTATATTTATTTGTTTGTTGAAAGTCACCCAATATTAATATTACCTTTAAATAAGCTAATTGTATATTCATATCTCAAATTTTTTAATCTAAAGGACTCAATAGATTAAATTCTAGTTGTACGTAATTTAATATTTTTTCATTTTTTCAAGTAAATATTAAAATTGTTTTTATTTTCTTTATGTTCAATGATCATTTTGGATTACCTTGCAATAAATATAGAACCATAATAAGCCATATAAATCAAATAATCAAGCTTTTCTATATTCAAACACCTTCAACTGAATCACTAGAGTTATTTACTTTAAATATAATAATTACAGTTATAGTATGTACTAAACTTTATACATAAAAGTTAATATCTAAAAAATGTCTAAACTTAAGATCAGCTAATTAATCACAAGTTCAGCCAATGCTATAGATTAATATCAACATTTTGTACCATATTCACCAATAATTAACATTATCCAACTGCACATGAATAATAAATAAATAACATTATCAAAAAAAATAATTTAATGATATAAATCATACAAACAATTCAATTTAAAAATTTGAGTAGATTAATTAATTAGTTTATTTATTTATTACTACCCATTAAATTATTATGGAATCTTAAATTACATAATACAGTTAAACTTTTACATTTATATAACCACTTTTATGACAACATTTTTGAAAATCTTAACCTCCTAATGATAACTAAAATCATTCAATGTTTTTCATTGTACTCAAGATATCAATACAAATTTAAATTTAGTTTTAATTGGATGGCTAATGTTTTTTAGTCATTAGCCAACAGCAGTTGGATAATTTTAATTGTATTTGCTAGTGCTAAATTCATCTATCTGTATTGGTGACTAAAATCCAAAATGTCATTAGCCAATAATTTAATTGACTAAACTTGTGATTACCCGGCTTATCTTAAGTTTAGCGATCCTTCGGACACTAACTGTAATAAATAATACTTATTACAATATGTAAATAATAAAATAATATGTATCGATTATAGGTGCTTAAATTAACTTTGCTGACTTTAAAAACTTAAAGTTTTTAACTTTTAAACAAAAATATGTGTTATTGTCAAAGAAATTGTTTTTTGTATTATTATTCCATTCATCTAAATAACGTATAAAATGTTTGATTACCTAATAAAAAATCAGAATTTTATTGCAGAAGCGTAAAAATAAAATATTATTTTAACAACTATGACCAATAGGATACTTTTTTCATATTTAGAAGTAGTCTGTGGCGTAGCAAGGATATTTCAAACCCTAAGCAAAGTATTTAAACAAACTGCCTACATTCATTTTTATAGGGTTTAGAATGTATGTTATCATTTACTTAAACCTAGGGTTGCTATACGTCCCGGAAAACCGGGATTGTCCCCGGTTTTGGACTTCGCGTCCCGATGTCCCGAAAAATGTTTTCGGGACGTCCATATGTCCCGGATTGGCCGTTTAGAAGAAATTTAGTATTGTTTAATTTTTAATTTCAACCATTTTATCTCAAATTACATTTTAAATTGTAATCATCGATTAACAAGAAATAATAAAAACATAATTTGTAATTCACACTTATAAATATATAATATATTTTATTTTACAAACAATTTTTTAAATATTATATTGCCGGCCATTAATGGTCCTCTTCAGTGGCGTATACATAACTTTTGTTTGGGGGGGATTATATGCAAACATCATTATTTTTTTTTTTTACGTTTCTAACGCCCTCACACTAAAAACATTATTTTGTAACATTTAAAAAAAGGCCTAGGGAGAGATCTAAAATCCACATGCCCCCCCTTGTACCTATACACCACTGATCTTCTCAATATATTAAAAGTTATATAAAAAGTATATTACACAACATTGTGTTTGTATTGTTCCGGTTACGTCTTATAAATTAATTTATGGCAACTCTAACTTAAACCCAGTGGTGTATTAGAGGATATACGGGGGTATACGGCGTGTACCCAATATCGCATTTTTTATCCATGGAGTATAGATTATGAGAAATTGATGATACGCTGGTATACAATCGTATCTAGCGTATTGCTTGTAATTTGACAAATATAAATAGTAAAACTTTTGGTTATATTTATGACGTGATTCGGTATCGGATATATTATTATTTTTCTATTTTTTTTTTTTTTTTTTATGAAAAATTCAAATTTTTTTTCATTTAACAAGTTCTCATTAGAAAAGTGGGATCCCAAAGACTATGTGAATTCGTTGATGATAAATCATAGATCAACAGTAGACAATAGAAGTAAATTATGTCACCCAGATGTAGATCCGAATAGTGAAAACAAAACAAGTCTTTGGAGAATACTGACGTAAAAAAAAAGTAACCATGATCTATTATTTTTATTAAATTTTTTTGTAGGTCATTATAAATTTATACTATAAACACGTGCTTTCTAACTTTAAAATAGATAGAGATATGAAGAGTGGTTAAATTAAAAATCAATAACCACTTAATAATATAATTAGTTCATTTGTTTAGCATATAGAAATATTATAGAATAAATACAAAAGTATAATATTCCATCAGATTTTAAGTGAATACAAGTAAAGTGAATATAGTTCGAGTGAAACGAGAAAAAAAATGTTTGGTTCCTACCAAATGATAGTTACTAATACATGAAATAAGGCGTATACCCATGATTTATTTTAGTAATACATCACTGGTTAAACCAGAACACTTTCACACAGAATTTTTCGAAGTAATTATGGCATCCCGATCTTTTAGCTCCACAATTCCATCTGATCAGGCTCGTATTTAGAGGGGGGCACGTGTAAGCACATACTCAGGGGCGGAAAAATATTTTAGCAAAATTAATTTTAAAAATAAAGTAGGTTAGGTACCTAATGAAAAAAAAAAATAATATGTTTTATTATGTTATAATTTGAAAATTCAAAAAAAAAAAATTGGAATTTTTATTATATTATAATTTATCAATTAAAAAAAAAAAGTAAATTGTCTGTTTTAAGTTATAATTTGCTTAATTTGTTAATTAAAAAAATATTAAACAATTTCCATTTATACGTTATATTTTAATGTTAAAAAATTTCCATTATGAACGAAATAATAAGTGTTATATTATTATTATTTATTTTTTTGGGGGGGGAGCATAAATAATATGCCCAGGGGCGCCAAATTTTTAAATACGGGCCTGCATCTGATGTCTGTTATTGAATTCAATAGGTACGTTTAAATTAATTTAAATTTTATCTAATTAATTTTTGACACGTAGGTATAAGAACCTATTTATGTTTATTAAATATAATTACAACTATACATATATTTTATATAATAATTATTAAGTAAGAATAATTAATAATATAGAAGTAGGTACCTTTATATAAAATAATTTATCATACTTAGACATTATTATGATCCAGTGGCATATATAAGGGAGGTACATAAGGAGCTAAACCCCCCCCGAAATGTTTTAAAAAACTTGAAAATTATTTTAAATGTTTGTTATATTTTAATGGTGCTATATGCTTATTTAGAATTTGCATCCAACGTCAAATCTTTTTGGGACATCCTGTAAATGAAATGTAGATAAATACCTACTGTGTCTTGTTAGTAATTCTTAGATATCAGTGGTAATTTAACTCTGTCCATAGTAGTCCCTCCCGAAAATATTTTCCGTATACTCCACTGTTATGAACCCCTCTTCATGCTGACCACGTATTTAGAGACAGCCGTCGAACGACCGACTCGAGTAATGCGTAGTTAGTCATGTTTTCGATCTTATACTCAACCGAATATTAGTTTCAAGTATTTATTAAGTAGTGCTAAGTAAACCTTATTTATAATTAACTAATTACGACTCAATAAAGAAAATATAATAACATTGGATATTAATTATTTCACGGACCCCGCACTACCGAATAACCGTTTTGGCGGAATATTTTCAATGGACTAATCCAGTGGCTCACAACAACATATTTAAATAAATGATAATATATTACTAAGGTAGACAAAGTAGTTTAGATATGAGTTGTTAATTATTAACAATAAAATATAAATTCACTTAAATCATTGTATTTTTATCTAATCTAATCTAATCTAAAGCACACTCGCGCACGCACTTTCAATAATCCGTCTCAATTTTTATGCTATCCCTCTACAAATATAAACAATAAAAAAAGTTTAAGAGAATATTTTTATAACACATTACCAATAATAATATTGGTCTATGCGGTTTATTATAGAATACACGACCACACACGTCTGTAGACACATCGACTGTTAATTTTGAATATCATCAGAATTATGTTTTGATTTTGTAATCGACGCGGTCAAACAAAGTTGTAAGTTTCATACCAACCGTAAATACTGTTAGACTTTTGATTCCCTTTTGAATTTGATCATGATGAACACTTTAATACATATTTTGGATAACCCTAATGACAATACAACAAATTAGTAAATCTTATTTACAACTTGTGATTGTTCGTTAAACACATACACTACACAAATATTACTCGATGAATCAGATGATATTTCCTCGGTTGTTAACAAATAGTAATTACAGATTATTAACACGATGTTATGTAATAAGAAAAATATTTATTTGTTATATGACATAATAAATATAATAATAATATATCAGTTTTGTTGTACGAAGTTTTGGGCACGATGGAGCGATTGTC